CCATCGAAACCGAGTCACTCGTCACCCGCCGCAGCCACCGCCACCCACGGGGACACCGGGACACGGGGCCTCTCCTGCTGCAGATGGGGAGGGGGAGCCTGGCCAGGGCACAGGGCAGTGCCGGGGGCTGCCCGGGGGTCTCTGATGAATTTTGGGAATGCTGCTAGGCTTGGGGCTGCCCGTGCCCCCCGTGGGCATTCCCCTGGCACATCCTTGTGTCTCCTGCACCTCGGGAGGTCAGGGGAGCCCTGGAGACATCACCACCCTTTTCTTTGTGATTTCCAGCTCCCCGACTCGCTGGATGTTGTGGGAGCAGGGGTGGGAGCCAGCAGAGCAGCCCGGCTGCACAGACAAAGCTTTGGTGGGCACGCACCAGCATTTCCCTCCCGGGCAGCCCGGGACCTTCTCCCGGCTCTCATTCACCCCTYCCACGGGGGCTGAGCCCTCGGGGTGCTGCGGGAGCCTCTCCCCTCGCCCTGGGCCGGCTCTGGGAGCCCGAACGAGCCCGGGCAGCCTCGAGCGCCTTTGTCTCCTGCGCCCACAGCGCAGCGAGGTTGCACAAGCTCAGCGCGGGGGTGAAGCGCATCCATCCCCACGGATCCAAATTCCCCCTTTCTTTCCCARCCTCAGCGGGTTCTGCAATGCCCCCCTGCCCGGCACAGCACGGCCCGGCCACCGACTGCAGAAAGGGAAGCGCTGCCTCGATTTCCAGGCTAAAAACACCAGGCTGAGCTTCCAAAATAATCGCAGTTCRATGATCTCCACTGCCCCCGGAGCTGCCGCTGCTGAAATGCCCCAATAGTTCAGTCTGAGCCTTTGGAATGATGAATTTAAGGGAATTTTGGGCAGCAGAAAGAGCTCGATGGGGAGGATGAATCTCCTTTTCCTGCTGCTGTTCAGTGCAAACCATAGAACGGTCCCCATCACTCTCACCTTTGGTTGGCTCCACTCAGTAATATGCAAATTTATGCAGAGTGGGGCCCGTTGGGACTGAGTTGTGAAGTTATTGACTGTTCTCAGAATGAGCTGTTAGTCATRAAAACCTTGTCAGGGCAATCTGGGTGTTGTCGGGGCTCTGAAAGGACCGGGGCCGAGACTTCTGTTCTGGTGTTGTTTTCCAAATCAGAGAGGCGTAAAGTGCAACCCCTGTAATTCAGAATTATTAAAAATTACTAAWAATTACTAAAAGCGCCCCTGTCACTGCTCTGCACTGAACTGCCAGGTGCTGTTTGAGGGCTGTGCCTCTCCTCGGGTGAACTTTTGCCGATTTTCATTGTGGATCGAGGAGGTTTTSGAAAGGAAAGGGAAGGAAAGGCTCATCTTGAAGAAAATGGGCAGAAATGAAAGGGAAAGAGAAAGCCCCAGAGGTGGGTGAGATGCACCGTGAAACCTCCCAGCTTCAGAGGGTGCCAAAAATAACCGCTCTGTCAGCGGGGTTACGAACGCGCCGGCCCCTGGGCTCGCTGTGTGACTTCCCAGAGCTGTTTTGGTGTCACAGAAGCGARCAAAATAACTCAGCAAAAGCACATCCCTGCCCACCCGCGTTCCGGTGYTCGCCTCGCTGCACCCACTGACCCCAGAGACGCCGGGGCTGCAGCTGAGCAGCGGCTCCTCAGCCCGGGACTGGGCAGGGCTTTGCTCCGAGTCTGAAGTGATTTCTTCCTTGGAAAAGAGAAGTGTCATTCAGTGCTTGGAGAATCCCCCCGCGCTTTGGATTTCCTGGAAAAGCAGCTGCTCCCCGGCCCAGGAGCCGCGGCCAAGCAGCCGCCTGCTCCCCCGCKGGCAGCGAGGGAACCTCGGGGTGTTTGCTGTGTTTTTGGGCAGGATCCGGAGCTCCTGAGCACAGGCACCGCCTTCGCTCTGAGCTCGGTGCCGTTTCTCCTTTGTGGTGCTCGGTTCCCCCGAGGGAATGAGCCGCTCTCCTGCCCCGGCTCATCCGTGCTCGCCCCGGGGCAGTGGGAGCTGCCCCATCCCGGTCCCCCGGGCGATGGGGGAGCCCCGGGCAGGGAAAGGGACACCGGGGACGGGTGGAAGCACTCGGTGCACGGAGCTCTTCCCGCGTTCTGCAGCTCTGCCGCCCCTTCCATCACCCGGGATGGAGGGGCTCGGGGTCACGACCAGCGCTCGGCCCCCGTTCCCGTTGTCCGGGTCTCTCCCGGTCCCTCGTGGAGCGGCAGCTCCGACCGGTAACGCTGCGCCCGCCCCCGGCCCGTCCGGTCCCGTCCCGTCCCGTCCCGTCCCGGGGGCGGAGCGGCACCGCCCGCAGCTCCCGCCGGGGCCGCCCCGCTCCGCCCGCCGAGCCCGCCCGGTTCCGGAGCGGCGGTGCAGGTGGAGCCCGAGCCCGCGGAGCCTCCGCGGGGCCCGGCCGGGGCCACCCCCGCTCCGCTGCCCCCGCCCAGGGACGCTCCGGCATCGCCGCCGCCAGCCCAAGGTAGGCACCGGGACACCGGGACACCGGGACACCGGGACACCGGGACACCGGGACACAGGGACACCGGGACACGGGGACACCGGGACACAGGGACACGGGGGCACCGGGACACCGGGACACGGGGGCACCGGGACACCGGGACACAGGGACACGGGGACACGGGGACACCGGGACACGGGGGCACCGGGACACCGGGACACGGGGACACCGGGACACGGGAACACCGGGACACGGGAACACCGGGACACAGGGACACCGGGACACGGGGGACGGTCGCGGGGCTGTCACCCCCGGCGGTTGGAGGGTCCCGGGTCTCTTCCCCGGGTCCCGGCACGGCTCCGTTCCCCGCAGCAGGGTGCAGCCCTCACCCCCCACTCCGAGGGGCCGCACTCGCCCCCTCCGCAGGTCCCGCAGCCCCCGGGGCTGGCAAGGGGTGCCCGTGTGGCGAGGAGCGGGGAGCGGGCCGGTCTGACGGGGGATGAACATCCCGGGGGTGTTGGAGCCCGGAGCCCCCCAGCCGGGTGGGTGAGCTGAGGGTGACCCCGATCGAGGGACAGCTGCTGGCAGGGCTGTCACCCCCCGGCCGGAGGTGCCATCGGGGGATGGCGACTCCCAGAGCAGCTGAGCCAGCCCGGAGGAGCCCCGTGGAATGCGGGGACAGCCTGGCAAAGCTGCCAGAGCTGAGCCGGAGAGTTCAGGCTCACGAATTTCACCGGGTCCATCGAGAGCCGGTGCTGGGATGTGGCAAAGCCGAGGCTGTGGTTTGCTGGGATGTTTTTGTGCTAATCCCGATGGAAGGCTGGCGGGGAGCGGGGCTGCGGGGGCAGAGGAGCTGCAGCACCGCTGGCTTTGCCCTCCTTGCTCTGTTTGCTSCCGGGGCACCTCTGTCTCCCCAAAAACCTTTGGAGAAAGGATGTGCCCTGGGAAAAAAAGAGCTGTGGGTGCCCCAAATCCCCCGGAGCCGTCTGCCAGCGCCACGAGCCGGTTCAGCCCACARATCTGTGCGCCGGCCAAGGTTTGCCCTGCGCTGGCAATCCCAGAAAGCAGCTCCCCACACCCCGTTCCACGGGGAAGGTGTTATCTGTGGGGTTGTTTTTTTTGGGGGGGGAGTGATGCAATGGGATGTTGGGAGACTCCTGCCGAGGAGCTGTGGGGTGTGGGGACAGGGCTGGGGCAGGACAGGCCAGGTGTCACTCGGGGAGAGGGAGGGGACCCGGTGGCCGGAGGGTTTGGATTCGGCGTTTTCCCCACGGGATGAGCTGTGAGTGGTCCTGGCCCGGATTTGTTCCAGCAGACGGAGCTCCGGGAGGATGGGGAGTGTGGGCCCCGCTCCGAGGGTCCGGATGCGATGCCTCCCACCAGATGTTTGCAGAGGGTTCCAGGCTGAAATCTCAGCCTTTCTCAGGAGATCTCCGGCGCTTCCTGCTTTGCTGCGAGGGTCGGAGGATTTCAGCACTTCCTACTCGCTGCCTGATGCGAGCAGGAAGTGGGAGC